TAAAGTCTTGTCTCTCTGAACTTATGGTTCAGGTTGCTTTTCACCTTAACAGTGAATGGATCAATTTATTTTATTTTTTCTACTCCCATCATCATTTTGGGTTCAAATTGAGCAACTGCACTGAGCAGATGTTATACTCCTCGTGTAAAGTTTCAAACAGAACCAAAATTTTGAGTTTGCTTGAGATGTCTGTTTTGCAAAAATGTGATTTTTTTATTTATTTATATGATTAAAAACAACACAATGTGCAAACTGAAAGCAAATAAGGGTAGCTGTCTGATTAATCATATAATGTGCCGATATTGTAGCACAAAATTAAACACATATGTACGTCCATAAAAGCATTAATGCTGCAAACAAATATTGTTCATGGAATGTAGTTGTAGGAGTTCTGGATGAAGTAGTTTGTTATTGAAGGAGACCAGTCTTTTATTAGAGTTATGACTTGTGTGAACCACGGATAGTAAAGGTCCAGTTGTCTTGTTGCTCCAGTGATGATGATATTTAATGCGGCCTCTGTGGCGGGGTAGGCTGGTATATTTGTAACGCCCCTAAAAAGAGAAAATAACTCATTCGCAACTGATTTTCTTTTTTCAAAATCCTTTGTGTATACTTACTTTTGCATATTTGACAAACCTGACTTTGTCCATGGCTGAATCAGTATCAATAAGCCCCAGGGTGCATATTGAGATTGACACATTGCTTTTCTTCATGGCCAGCTCATGATAAAGGGACCCGAAGAATCCATTTAGGGCAAATTTTGTTGAGCTGTATGGCAGCGTGAAGGGGTTCGGCATTTTACCTTTAAAACAACGACAAACGTCCCAGTAAATCGCAGAGTTTTCTCAAACACTTGAGTCAAGAAAATAGCTTTATATGTTCAGCTTGAGCTTGAAAAAAATATGAATGCGTAAGCATAAAAATGTGCCTTTTGAGAATTATTTAATGCTTTTGTAACTGTACATTTATCACTTATGTGTCATAGCAAATTCATGTAAAGGGAAATGAGTCAAATTTACCTAAAAGTGATGAAACAACCACCAAAGATCCTTTGCTTTGCTCAAGAGAGGGCAAAGCTCTCCAGGCCATTTGAATGTAGCTTAAGAAATTGACCTTTAAAACACACACACACACACACACACACACACACACACACACACACACATCAAAAGAAACATCAAGGCATTCCCTTGATTTTATGTGCTGAGAAACTGTCAAAATGATCCATTACCTTCATTAACCACCTGGTATGTTCCACATCTCCCTCCCACATGCCAAAGGTAGTCGGACCAATGTGGTTGAGAACCAGGTAGTCCAAGCCTCCCAGTTTCTCCAGAGCAAAATCGACCACCCTGTCAGGGTCAGACTCATTGGCCATGTCTGCTGGTATATAAAGGGCTTTCTGAGCCCCCAGACTCAGACACTTCTCAGCTACCTGTGAACCGCAAGGAGCAACGTTTTACAAAACAGTTTAACAGAAGTCCTGGTGCAGTTGAGACGATGTTAGGTGTGATTTGGTGCCTTTTGGACAAGCTGAATGATACTGAGCTAAAATAACTGTGAAGGAATATCGATGACAGGTGAGAAAGTTGATTGGGAGGAAGTAGATGAAGAAGGGGTAGAGATTAGAACATTTAGGAAGGATTAGTCTAATTAAAAGTGGTAGTAATGAAGCGGAAGCAGAAGAGGAAGATGATGGATGGATGGATGGATGGATGGATGGATGGATGGATGGATGGATGGATGGATGGATGGATGGAACAAGAGATAATAGGAGATAAAAATATGGGGATAAAGAAAATGACAATGAATGATAGGGATTAGAAAGCCAAGCAAATAATGCAACAGAAATCCTAAGAAGGCATACGGGATAAAAATTGGAGAACATGAGGAAGGTGATGGAGAATGTGTGGCGATGATGAATGAAAAAGTTAGGAATAATCAACAGGAAGCTTTAGGAGATGTATTGTGACACAAATGAGGAGGATGAGGGAGACTAAGTAGAATTAGAAAGAGCAGTAATGAGAAATGAGGAAGGTTTGGAGGAATGATGAAGGGGTATGGAAGAAGGAATAAAAATCAGTGGAAATAAAATAAGCTGAATGAAGGTAATTAGGTAGAGAAGTGAGGTGAATGAAGGAATAACAACGATAGTAGCAAAGGAAATAGATTAGGAATGTGATGATACAGAGTGAAATTGACTAGAATGAGATGAAATTGGAATGATGCAAAAGGAATAAGGTCTAAGCAGAGGGAGAGAAAGACTTGTGCTGAATAAGCATGCCATGTAGGAAATGACTTACTTGCTGATTAGATCTGTAGTTTAGATTGTAACCTCAGTGTCCCAGTTGAGGTTATAAAGTAAAACATGTTTTACTCCACTGACACAGTTCCAAAAGGCAGAATGAAAAGATTAAGCAAAACTGACCTGCTGTAAAACTTTCTCCCTCCTTGCTGTGATGACAATCTGAGCTCCAAAGCGGGCGTAGTGATACGCCATTTGTTCACCAATGCCTGAACTGGCCCCGGTGACCAACACCCTGGCACCTTTGAGAGATTCTAAGACAAAGTCCACACATTCAATAACACATATTTAATACTGAAAAGATGCCAACAGTAAGGCCACAGTTTTTATTGTGTACAAACGGATATGTCCCAACACAGATACACACACAGGTATTTCACTCTGCAACAGGATTTCCCTTTGGAATAATGATTCTTGTCTTTTATGGCACTCGCTGTAAAACATAAACCCAATCAAAGCCACCTCACAGAATGTTTCACGCAAAATGACATCAGTCTCGCTCAAAGGACTCAGTGCAGTGTGCAGGAAATGTCCCTGGGACATTTTAGTTGCTTAAAGAAATACACGATACACCTAAAGATAGCAACACTGTGCAGTTAACTCGAGCCAAATCAAGTGAATATTAGTGTTAAATTTACTGCACAGTTTGCCCTTGTGGGCTGAATGAATGTCTGCATTCTCTCAGTTCTAAAGCTGTTTAGTCACTTGAGGAAAGCAGATTATCTGCAGTCATTTGCTCTGTTCGTGATTCCGCTCCCAGTTATGCCACAGCAATCATTAAAAACTCATAATCTTTATTTTTACACCGATTATTTCCAGCATCTGATCGTCGAAAAAGTTGAATGATTGTGTTTGCATAGTTTATATTCAAGTAGTTAAGTGGAACAAATGTTGATATTTGAAAGAGGTACACGTCATGTGACTGATGCTTAACATCATACAGAAAGCATCTGACCCGACAATAAAAGCATTCTGTGAGTGATATTATTTCTTATATTTACTCTGTTTTTAAATAGGTGTGTTGATGTTTAGATTTTTAGATCATGAGGCGTAAGAATGAAATCCTACTGTGAGGAATGTAGCACGTTTTTGCCATTCTACTTTTCATAGAATGGCAAAAAATGTAACACGTTAATGCTGGATTATTAGTCACTACTTAGGTAGTTGGCCTGGAGCAGGCCGCTTTACAGACATGCCATGTGTAGCTTGCAAAATAGAGCTTTAAAACAGACTTATTTAATGGTTCAGTGGTGTTGCTTCACCTCTTTCTACCGCATGACTGTGTGTTTTGCGAGCAGAAATACTCACAAACAGCAACAAATTATTTTTTTGTAAGTAAGGGACTGCTAGGGGTGTTGCTGTTTTTCAGCAATCTGGTCTGAATTGTGCAACAATGAGAAATAGCCATAGATAAGGGCACTTGGACTTGTATTTTATTAGTGGACTGCAATAGAAACCATTGATAATAGTTTTTTTTTTTTTTCGCAATTTTGAATGATTGCACAAACCTTGCGATACTACAGTTCTTGCAACTGGATTGTCTTAGTGATCTTTAAAGGTTCAGATAGAATGTTTATGATGTTTTACAACAAGAATCTCAAATGTCAGTATTTAGGGGTAGTGTCCTACAGCTTTTGAATGTGTCACTGGTCTGCTGAGCCTGAATCAAAGAAATAAAGAATCAGGATAAAGACAAAATTCTTTGATTCAGGTTTACTGAAGCAGATGCACGTTTTAAAGTTACAGAACACCATTCTCCATTGACTGGATATTGAATACATTATGTTTAATGTAAATTGGCTTTACATTAAACATAAGTACTTAACCAAAGAATAATAATAATAAAAAATATCTGTTTTGTTAGAATATAATTTCTTGCATTACACTGTGGATTTATAAGGGCATATGTTACTTTTGCATGCTCTGAAACCACTTCTTCAGCAGAGACTCCCTTTGGCGTGTGGGAGGGACATGCACCATGACAGCTTTATAAAAAATATTTTAAAAAAGGGCGCCCCCTCATGTTTGAAAGGAGAATGAACTATCCTACTGTTCAGTGGGAACTCAAAACTAATTCAGTCAACAGTTTACAGTAGTTAGACACGCAAAATAAAGTCAGGTCCAATTTACATGAAAACACTTTGAAAGAAGTGTAGCTAAGATATTTGCTGGCGAATTTAAAATAATGAAAGTAATAATAATAATAATTGCACACTATAAAAACTAACGTATTCAAGCAAGTTCTGTTTCCAATGAGATTATTTCCATTGAACAACTACACTGTACATAGAAACAAGATAAATAAAAACTGGGATTCTTTCTAAAAACATAAGTCTTCTGTAGGGTCCAATATTTAAACATAAGAGTCAGAATAACACAGTCTTTATATATTCACTGTAAGGCTTTAGGACTCAATGTACAGAAAATGTCCCTGGGACATTTTTATGTACTATGAGTTTGTACTGAGCCACCATCCCGCCGTTGCAGGTCAAACACCTATCATCATTGCTGTCATCATAAATGATCATCATCATCAACATGATACACCTAATTCCCTGCAGTTCATTAAACAAAATCGAGCTTTAACATTGTACACAAAAAAGAAAAGTTTAGATTCATTTTAGCTTAACGTACCCGGATGAAAACTAGGTGCAGTCCATTTCATAGCTAAATAAGCAGCCAAAATACTCCCAATCAAAATTTTGACGAATGTTGCCATTTAGCCCACTTGGTTTGCAAAAGTTTCAAGCAACTTCTTTTTTACGGTTTATATAAGTATAGCGAAACGTCACAATACCAGCAAATAGGAGGTGCATGTTATGCATTTTTTTTTACAACTCAAACCCGCCCCTCCATATCTGACTAAAGTAATCAAAGCATTTTTAACTAAATTCAAATATATTTTCACAGGAATTGATAAAGTTTTGCCTTTTAAATCTTGATTTATTTATTTAAACAAACCATAATAATACAACATAAAGTAGATACACGACGAACGAATCTGCCGCTCTGAAATAAATAGCAACTTTATTGACAAAACACTTGAGCACACAGTGCAGACACCGCTTGTCCTTCACTGCTCCTGGCTAGCTAGTGTTCTTCTAGGATTGTTTTCTGAAAAGCAACACATAAAGGAAAAACATAAAACTCTGGACGATGGCCCCAAGGATCTGGCCTTTAGTAAAGTTGGTATTTTTCTTTCAACTCAAGGTTTTTCATTCAAAGCTTGGTCGTTGACATGCTAAGTACCCGATTAGCCCGTTAGCTCGCTTAAGCTAACAGTAGTAGTCAGTAGTAGTGCTACGTTTCACTATTTAAAATTACTCGGCATTTTACGGTTAAAAGTTTTACTTGTATATACTGGTACGTTTGATGGAATTCCCAAACTACACAAAGCTGATAAATAACTGCTTTGAGTTACTATCATAGAAATAACCTTTATGGAGTGTACTGTAATAGAGGCATTATGTCGTCTTTTTGTTTTGGTTGTTGTTTTTGTGTGGAATCATTCATTATTAAAAGGCTGCATGTTTTTTTGTTTGTTTTTTTGCTCACGGTATGGCTAACCTCATTCCTTCACTTACAGACTTGTCTCCAAGGTGACCATTGCAGGGGGAGCAGTGTACGTCGCCTATGACTCTGGTCTGCTGGGAAGCAGTGAACAGGGGTCAATGGCCCTGGAGAAGGCCAAAGCAGTTGTGCCACCCGCCTTAGAAGAATGGATGAAGTATTTTGGTCTGGAGGTACGGATGTGTAAATTGCTTATTTGGCCAATAACTTGGCATGTAGACTGATTTTATGTAGTAGAAACTTTGCAAAGCAAAAGTTTTACAAAGTGAAGGTTTAAAGTCCTCTTAAATTTGAATGGCTTAAAGTCATTTTTGTGAAAACAGTGACTAAAGTTGTCTCTGGCTGTATGGAGGATTGAGTAACAGAGCTTACCTTCCACAAGTTGTTGCTTCTAGCCAAAGAGAAGTCTTATACTCACACGAAGGCCACCCACCATCCTAATTTAGGTAACAGTTTTGAAATGACACATCGCAAGCTCAAGGTTATTGATGTGATCCAATTTGTGTTATGTGATACAATATTTGTTTACTATTTTGATTGCGATTCACAGAGAGAAAAGGAGACCAAAGACATGACGATAGCAGCTGTATTCAAAATCATTTGACTATTTTAGGCATTTATAAAAATGTTTTAACAGTCAGTTTCTTTCAGCTAAAAACAAAAAAAAAGTAAACTATTTTAGTGGCAAAGGGTGGCCTTAAGTCATGTAAACATTATTGTTTTACAGAAGTAAATGTTCTGAAATTATTTATTTGTTTAAAAGTTACATATTTCGAGAAAGGACGAGAAAATAAACCCCTCAGTAAATTTAATAACAGTTTAACTAAATATATTTGCAGAGATTATCTTATTGTTGTTCTGCTCTTTATGGATTATCACAAGTTCATTGGTCAGGCTATCTGCTCAAGTAGCTAGCCTGTAGATGCCACGTTTGAGACTTGCAACTCAAAGCTTGCTCAAGGTACTTTCAAAACAGCATTAGTTTGATAACAATGGAGGGTGACACTTCAAGTTTCCATGTCATGAGCTTCCAGACAATTAATTTTCTCTTTTTTGTAAGGCCGGATAAAGTGTTGAGGCTACCAGCTGCGCTGAACTGCCTCTGCCCTGCTCTGTTCTCCACCATACAGCCAAAAACAAAAACCACCTCCTGTCTTGGTTCATTTGTGAAAGTCACACAAATGTTTTTTTTTTTTTTTTGACTTTTCATAATTGGGATAGATTAATAGATATACTTACAGCCACTGTTAAGCTGTGCATGAAATTTATAATCTAACATCCTTGACCTTTTCCTCTGCCCTTAGGCTCAGCTTCCCACCATGCCTAAGATTGAATTCTCCCCGGTTAATTCATGGAACGCTGGTAAGAACTGAATAGAATGCCAGTGATTACGAGTTTGGGCTTCTGAGTGAGCCTGAATTATTGATGTAGTTTGCTTTTCATAGAGCATTCAGTGATTATCAGTGATTAACAGCTGAGGTTGAGATGAGTCAGTTTGATTGTTTAATACCTTGTGTACTTACTTCCCTTCTATTTACAGGAGTGCGGTGGACAATTTCGAGCCTTTCAGAGGCCCCAACAAGAGCAACTGAATATACAAATCAGGGACTGCAGTACGTAAAAGACCTTACCAAGTGAACAGAACCTCCCTGGGTGACCTCACATTATTAATGTTTGACTTTTGCACTTGAGAAATGACAGTACTCCAAAAATTTCACCCCCCTCCCTCCAGACTAGAAGACATGAAAGGAAACTTCTGTGTGAGGAATGTGCTGGATTTAATGTAAAATGGTATCTTGTGGAAGTTGTAAATAAAGCAGGGAAGCAAAGTGTATTTAAATTAAAAATGTGTTTATGCAAGTTAAATTGTCACCAACGTTAATTACAAATAATGTATGAAAGCGTGTCTGATGTATGCATCCAACTTCACTATTTGATGGCAATAACGCCAAATCTTTTTTTTGCAGTAGGCAGCTTATAATAAAAAACAAAACGGATGTGCTAAACTTTATTACAACAGAATGATGACACAAACTGTCATTTAGTTTCTGCCACAAAAATTCAGAACCAGAGAAAACTTAAAGCAGACTTATCTATGATTTAAGTTTGCACAAAAAAACAAAACAAAAAAAAAAAACACTCTAAAGCACGGCTAACAGTGATGCATAGTGTTACGTTTTGAACTAAATGCAACAACAGAACTGATTCTAGCATACACGGTCACTCCCACCCTTATGTAAATGTTTCAAAAACTCCCAGGCACTGTTCAGGGGATGCAACCAAAGTTTTGACCCAAAGGAGAAGTTATTTGAAGGATAAACAGAGCTCGGTTTTGAGAAATTTGGGATGAAACCTCTTCTGCAAGCATGTAATTTAAGACTACAGGGCATTTTAAAGACCAAAATCAAAGATTAGATAGTTGTATATTGTTTCTTTTTTTTGTTGTTTATTACAATTTTAAAAATGTATATTATAGGGGCTTTTACACAAATTTTCCAGCTTAAATACTGTCATCTGAATGTATTGCAACATATATATTTTTTTTTCTTCTTTCCTTCATGCGTATTATTTCTTTATAACATTTAGCAGAAAGTATATGTTCTTATATAACGTAGCCACGTAAACTTTATACAGTAAAGTGCTGCACACAACATCAACACTGAAATCACAACAGCAATGATAAAGCAAGTTACATTTGAATAGCAATCTTACAATGAAGAGCTAAACATTCCACACTGATCCATAATTTCCCTCAAACTGTCTGTCCTTTAAATGTAATGAAATGGCATACTCCAATTAGCAGTCCGGAGAAACGGTAAGTAATATATTGCTAAATTGTGACCAGCGTGAAGGCACTTTATGTATAACTGTGCATTTAAATTTAAATAATACTACTTCAGCATTTCCATTGCAACCATAAAAGTGCTGTAAAAATTAGGATTTAAAGCATATTTTAAAATCTCCATCCACCACGTCAACAAGAAAAGCCAGGCTAGACTCACATAATGTAATATGCAGCCGATTAATATAGCACAACTATAAACGTTGCAATACTAGATAAGAGTGCAAAGGTGCAAGAAGATATTGGCATTGAGCAATATAGGGGACAGATAAGGGTGACTTTGCAAGGCTGTTTCCCACTGATGTCTACAAGTACAAACAGCAAACTAAAGCTTTGATTTTTAGACACTCTTTGTGTAACAAATTCAACAAGAACTTCAGAGAAAAGTGCAACTATAAGACATCTTGCTCATCTTTCAAAGCCAGAACCACTTAGTAGACTGATTGATGGCAACAATGTAAATGCAAAATTCCTGCGCAGCTTAACGACAGCACGACCTTAGGCTGTCCATGGATGAAGTTATAGAATAAGACTGTCACCATTTCAAAAAAGAAAAAAAAAAAAACAAGCATAGCAGTGCTACTTTTCTGCTATACATAGAAATGAATATTGCACTGGCTTCTTAACGAATAAAGTGTGTCAGTTATTCCTCAAACCCACCACAGATGGCCTTCAATAATAATTTAACCATGAGCCGAACGAAAGCAGATGGGAAACGGGCAGAGATGAAAGTGTTCACTATGTCTACGGGGTTTTGACCAGATCATAAACATGAATATGAAAGTCATCATCATATTTGATATAGTACACTGAGGGCTTGGCTGGGACCTGGTAGATGACCAGGCCTGTTCTCTTCACTCCCTTGTCGGTAACATACTCCACTTGTTTCCCCACCAGACTTTCAGTCTCTTCTCCCGGCTTTCTGTCCGCAGGCAACAGGTGCTTGTTTTCTGAAGGAGGAGAGCGAAACGTTACAACGTGCGCAGTAAACTTACAGATAAAATCAGCAAACTTCACCTTGACGATATTGTGACATCTTTAGAGAGTTTTTCCACATACTGTCCAAAGGTAGTATTTTATCATATCGATCAGGTCAGAAGGCGTAAGAACGTCTCATAGCCATGCGACTTTTTATAAGTCCCACCTCTATAAATAAATACAAAAGCTTCTAAATACCAGCACCCTGACAGACATTTTAAATCAGTCCACTGGAATTTGACTTTGTTGGTGTTCAGGTTTTTATCCATTTTGACTCAATGTTTGGATGAAGGATTGAGTTTAGGTGCATTTTTTTGTTATAAGTTGTAATTGTCGGAGAAAATGAAAAAGGGAAGGTTCGCTGGAGTCTGGATTCCAAGAAAATGGTTTTTAGCCCACCCTAAATATCCAGGTTAGCAGACCAGTGTTTAACACATGGTGATAGTTGTAGGAAAATAACTTTGCTGCACTTTTCACGGTTGCATCTCATTAAATATTTCAGAGATAAAAGTTAAGGTAAAAAAATATAACCCTTAGTTTTGTCTCATCTGACCAAAGAAAATGCATGCTTAGTCTTTAGTCGTCGTTGTTATTAGCACACTTCAATCTGAGCAGACTTTTTCTATGTCTACAACCAGAGTTCTGCTGGTTGTCTTTTTGGTGACTACCACTGGGCACATATCTCACTTTCTTTTCAGCTTCTTTGAAATCATTCCATTCCTACCTCTGCCAGGATCAGTCTGTGCTGTTTGGCTCTTTTTAAACTTGTCGATACTTCTCATTTTAGCTCAGGACACTCAGAAAGGCTGTGATAACTTTTTATATCCTTCTCCTGCTTTGTGAGCATGTGACAGCTCAAACCTTTGCTGAAGTGAATGTTTAGAAATAACCCTCAGTTTTAACTAAACATTTGCAGCATTCACAATCTGCATGCCGGTAATATATCTGTCCCTGACCTAAATCTTTTTGATGCTGTTGATCACAGAGTTGTGGGGCATTGTGATGTTGGAAAACAAAAATGGCTAACTTGCAAAACATATCGTTTCCAGTTCCAGTAGTTACACTAGAGTTTCAAGTTTTTCTAATACTCTGCAGCCCTAATTGCCAATTCTGTAGTGTGAGGTTAACATACTCCTCATATTAGCATATTCCTATTCTAATTTAGAGCTGGAAGATGCTCAGCAATCCAAGTGCCACATGACTTCTGAGTTGTAGCTTACATTAGTTTGATAGCCTTTAGGCAAATAAAATCAATAACTGCTGGTCTCACATGTTGGAAGAACTCCAAAGATGCATTAGCTTGGAGGGCATAATGTGATGCAGGATATGACATCTGAACACTGAACAGCACAAAACTGTCCAGGTTTATTAAACTACATCTAAAATAAATTTGGACCTGCACAGACAGACGTATTCCAAGAGAGAAGTGGCATGCGGCTTGAATATGATGCAGAAGCACACACAAACATGACTCGCAGTAAATACCCTGGAGGACTTCCTGCTGTACTCAGACATAATCTCATGCTATAATTTTTTTTTATTATTTGTGTGCCATGTTTGGAAGCAGGATAAGCTCTTTCAGATGTCTGAAGTAAGTGTTGCAAATATTTCTGCTTTCACATGCAGCCTGGCCAGGACATCAAGCATGCAGTAGATGGGTGTAAACGACTTTATAGCAGTAAAGGGTTAGACCGAGGTACAACTCGTTATTAAAGCATACAAACTCAAAATTGCCTGAAATCAACCAGATACTCCTTAATTCTGTTTGTTTTCCACTCCTCAAACTGGAAATAAAGGAGGCAAATCATTCTGAGTGGACAAAAACTGAGACAACCTTAAATATCTGTAACATCTGCTGAACTTGTTGCTCTTGTTCCTGTTTCTAACGCCTCCAGGGAAACACTACATTAAGACTCCTTCTGAATAAATCAGCTTTTGTTAAAGCACAAATTAACATTACCTGCTTCTGGCAAAATCCTGAGGTCCCCATCTGCATAGTCATCCCACAGCTGGTACATATAAAGAACTGGGTCCTTTTCATAAGTGATATAATACCAGTTTGTCATGACTGGAGCTCGGGATAGGACCATGCCTCTCCACTCATTCTTCTCGCCATCTTCCTTTTCAAACAAATGCTCCACTGCTTTGCCCACAAGTTCCTCTGCCCCTGCTGGGATCTTTATTTTGTTGTTTACTGCAGAGACACAAGTGGATATGTTGCTCAAAATGAATAAAAATGCCTGAGAGTAGCTTGTGAATTAGAGGTACCTGGACGATTCATTGAATTTTTGGTTTTTAAATATTACGTTTTTTGAAAATAGGGATTTTTTTATTCTTCACCAATGCAATCCTTAGGTTCAGAGTGATGTCAGCATGCCCAGGGCCGCCATCTTGTTTGACAAGCATGTTTTACAGATCCTATTTATCAGGATTCTGTTTATTTTGAATTCAGGTCAGCTCTACCTGAACTGAATTCAGGAGTATTAGAGCAAGGCTACGATTTTCGTTTTATTTCTTTTCAATTATGAGAATAAAGTCAAAGTAACACAAGAATAAAGTGTTAACATTACCAGAATAAAGTCGGAAATTAGAAGAATGAAGTAGTAATTTTATGAGAACTCCTACACAAAATATAACAAAACGAAATGTTGAGCATCTTGCTCAGTTATACTTATCTGTTCTGTTATCGGTTTCACAGATAAGTAAGTTTTTAATCTTTTAACACATGAGCATCAAAATATTATCAGTAGCAGGACTTTGAAACAATTGTGCAAATGGCTGAGTCTATTTCGAAGAAAGAAGAACATGGGCTGAGCCGGTCACGTCAGATTTTGATAACCCTATCAAAGCTTTATCTCATTAAAACATCCGTTTCCTTGTGATTTTAGGACAATCTTCTGCTAAAATTGTCTTTATTCTGCCAATAGTATGACTATATTCTCGTAATTAAAGAAAAAAAAATTCTTGTAGCCTGGCCCTAACACTGATTGAAGTAAAAGCCACTTTTTTTGAAAATAGTTTCTGTCATTTGAAATTTCTTTTTTAGGAAAAAGAAAAAAAATTATATATATATATATATATTAAAATCGGAAATTGGTTCTCAGATGAATCGGTTCATCTGAGATTTTATTTTTAAGCCGTATCACCCAGCCTTAGCATGGACATTTACTCACCGATATTCTCTGACAGGACTTGCAGGTTGGACACTCTCACGTCCTTGAATAGCTCGATGCCGTAGACGCAGTCAAAGCCGTCGTACTTCACCATGAAGAGAGAGGGATTGACGCCGAGTCTGTCCAGCACCGTTCCCTTCCATTTGCTTTGGTTGCCCTTCTCTCGCCAGTTATGCTGAATGCGCAATCCCAGGATGGAGTTGGGGTCCGGCGTCGCCACGTCACTCAGTTCCCCGCTGCTCCGCTTTCTGATATCCGACATGAACAGACAGCCTTAGAAGTTCTCACACAAAAGTGGGATAATTCTGATCCAAAACTGATAGACTGGTACATTTTAGCATTACTGCGAGGGAGTGTTGTTCACTTCATGTACTGAATGTAAAAACAAGAACACGAGCAAGAGATCACATCTTACATGTGCTGCCAATTTTTCCTTTTCTGAGAGCATATTATAAGAAAATGAAGCGTTTTTGCGGTTGAATAATTTAGCTTATAGGACATCTTGATCTCCTTTTACCCGTTTTCAGCATTAGAGGTTTATTAATACTCCCCTAAAATGTTTTTCTAATTTGTTGTTTTTCTAAGCAAACTAAAATATTTTGACAATATTATAAGCTGTTATTAGCATTATATTAAGATTTGAAACAAAAATATATCAGAATCAGCTCTATTGGCCAGGATTGTGTGCAAAAAAAAAAAAGAAATTAAGAGCACACATTAGGTATATACATTTATAGACTTAGAGCAAATAACAGAACATCACACAATTATTTAAAAAAAAGCAACTAATATTCCTATTGCTTAACATACTACTAGGGATTCACTAATCTACCCTAAAAGTTTTACTTTGTACCTTTTATTTGTATGAACATGGGTGGAACTGTTATTTTCTACATCTTGTCTTGTCCATGTTTTTCACTACTGGAAAACTAAACGATGCTTTTTTTTTCTTTCTTTTTTTTTAAACACTGAGTAAATTCAGGAATAATTATATCTGAGTGTGTGTTTGGTGGGTGCTCCTCTGTGTTACGGCTGGTCGAGTCCAAAGTCTTCTCTGGCATCACATCAAAAGGACATTAAATTGTAGATTCCAGTAAAGCCAAAATGAACAAACAAAAAAGGACAGATGGCTTTCCAGAATGTATAACAAAACTTCCCTAGGATCCCTTGAAGATGGAGTGGTGCAAGTGAAATTTGTGTTCCTACATTTCATGCTTTCTTTTACACTAGCCACATAGATCCAATCACATTCGCATTTGTAGATTAAAGCACAGACTGGCAGGCAAATCGGGAGATTGTGCCTTTCTGAAGTCTCCTTGTGTGAAATTAGGTTTGCTTGATTAAAAAAAAAAATGTTCCAAAAGTTTTGATTGTAATAACACATTTTCACACATCACCTTGTCCAATAGTTCACTTTCACGTACCTGCCCCTTTTCTTGGACATGCCTCTGGAAATTCAAAGGTTACTATTTGAAAGAAAAAAAGGCACTTTAGTTATGTCACCAGGAAGAATAGACAGTCAGACACAAGAGAAGAGGGAAATTTAAATAATCCTTAAAAAAAATGGGCTTGACGTGTTGCTCTAAAGACTGACAACTCCATCAACCAATGAACCACTTCCTGAGAATCTATTCGGGTGACATAGCTATGGAGGTCACGTCTAAAGATGAGTTAGCTCGCACACCAGTATAACTGGATGACAAGCCTGCGGGTGTAATGTATTTACATGAATATTTCACATACCAAACATATCAATGCCACGAGGGAAGTCTGAAAAATATAACATTTAAGTACACTCGCATTAGCTCATATTCCTACTGAACTAAACACCGCGCCGTCTGTCTGGTTACTCGTTATCAATGCAGATGTTGCTGAAGGTAAGCAGAGGCGTACAGTCAGCCATATCTATCTGCTTACCGGTCTCACTGACAAGCTAACAAGCAGTAGCAACAAATGGATGTTTATGACGTCCATATTCTAAGTGTGGAACACAGTTTAATTACCTTTAAGCAGATTTCATGTCAGTACTGTTCGGTTTGTATGGCGGATAAATGTTGCCACACGCCAATCCGCCCGCGTAAATCTCGCGAAACCTATGGAAAAACAGGAGTTAGCTGTGGCTGGTTGGTCGTGGGGGGAGGAGACTCTAGTTCCCAGCAAGCCTTAAGGTTGCCATGACGGCAGGGAAAAACGTAAGCAAATGCGCGGGGAATTGTGGGTATTGATGTTTCTAAATACCAGCACTCTGACAGAAACCTGCTGGGTAAGTTTCTAATGTTTTGATTTGTAAATGCAGCAAAGTTTATGTCAGTCTGTGTAGTTTTTTTTTTTTTTTTCCCAAACTGTGACATTACACTGATAACTTAGCATTCACATTCACATTGTCTCACTTATAATTCACATAAACAATGATAATTTGGAAATATTTTCCGACAGCCTTTTATTCTTTTTCCTTTTACTACTTCTTTAAAGGAAAAATATGGTGTATATTAATAAAAGATCTGACTGGAACAACAATCAGATATATTGCTTTAGTTACATCATGTTAGATTGTATGGAGCGCTAATTCCAGAAGAGGGCAGCAGAGGTTTGATAATTTTTTTTGTTTTATCAGTTTGGTTGGAGGATATGGAGGACCAAAACAGACATAATAATAAATAAAAGAATAAATACATATCCGACATATATAAATAAAATAATAAATATATAAATAAAAGAATCAATATATATTTTTGATAAGAATTAAAAGCATAAATATATATTTTGATAAGAAATAAAAGCATAAATATATATTTTGATAAGAAATAAAAGCATAAATATATATTTTCTTTTTCATTTCCCCTTACACATGAGTTTCCATCAAGAAAAATAGATATTTTTGCTTTGCCTTTTTTGCTTCTCCCTTTTCTGCTCGCCGTTTTTCCGTTTGCTGTATTTCTGCTGCATCGTTATGTTAATGAGGAGGGCTGCCTTCTATGTCCAGCTCTTCTACTATTGGTCAATAAACAGGAAACAGGAAAGAGAACGATCCATCATGTGCAGATCGATTGTGCATGCCTTCCTACTTGGCGCTTTCGGCCTCAGTTCAACAGTAGTGAAGTTATGGAGGAATCACAACGACGCTCAGTTTCTGAATTGTTAAGAGAGGCTGCGAATAGGTTGGATGAGTTGGAACGTGGTAAGTTTTTGGTTAACTATACTTCTGTAATTTTGTGGAAGAGGTTAATCATATTGTCATTTCAGTGGCAACCACCGGTTCAACTCCTCCAACAGATGAAATATAGGGAATATATGAAATATAGAGAATAAAATTACAGGCAATGAGATTAAGCATTGAAATGGGTGATTTTGTCTAATAGCTAAACTGGACAGAGCAAAGGCTTATCAGCAATAGTGTTACAATGACCAGATCTGTAACGAGCAGGTATGATGAAATTAACTGATGGCGATTTATGACATGAGACAGATGGAGGAGGTTCGGCTAATGGTTTAAACACAACTCAAGAGCGGAGAGCGACGATCTGGGATCGCTTGCAGAAATTACCTGTCAGGAAACGGGTTACGGCAGTAAAAAAGGTTTAGTAAAATGCTGAGGATTCGAGCTGCTGAAATGGGAGGTTAAAGCTGAACCAGCTACGCTGTTTGCTGTATTTCTGCTGCATCGTTATGCAGCAGAAATACATAACGCCCAAAAAAGGGCCATGCCCGACTGCTGAAGTAGAATGGTAAAATTAGAGAGGAGATGCCATCCAAAGCTTAACCTGTGTAGGGTTAAGCATTTGGGCAGTAGTAAAACTCGATACGCTAGATTATTTTTTAATTAAGTATGTAGAGCTTTTGAATTTGTTGAAATGTGCCATGCGAACGAACTTGACTGGACCTAGGCCAGGGATCGGCAATCCAAAATGTTGAAAGAGCCATATTGGACCAGAAAAACAAAAAAAAAAAAAACAACTCTATCTGGGGCCGCAAAAAATTAAAATCCTTATATAAGGCTTATGAGGCATAAAGTGTTTATATTAGCCTATTATCAAAATGACTAAGTGTACATAATTACCATTCGTAATTAAATGTTTATTTTCCCTGCAGTGCCTCCTGGAAGGAATGACCCACCACGTGACTGTTGTATGATGTACATTTTTATTATGAAGATCAACAGGGAAAGAGTCTTTTTTTCTTTTTCTTTTGGAACTCGGAAAATCTGCTCCCAAATGCATTTTTCATAATGATCGCTCTTTGTAAATAATCACCGTTAAGTGTGCGATCAAAAACAACAAAACGGAACGTGCTTAACGTTCCCCTTATCTGGGCAACAAACGGAGTGCAATAAAACGCCACCTGCAGGTTTGAAAATAAAGGCTACTGCTTTACTGCTAAAAGGTAAAGTATATAGAATTAAATTAATATGCTTTAAGTTTGATTTCTGCGCAAATGCCAAGAAAGTCAGTGCAATGTTAAAACGTAGCAGCATCCTCTTTTGACACATCCTCGGACCTGAGCAACAAAACACAATAATAACGCTAAGTGCCAATCTAAATATTTACTGACAAAAAAAATCACTGATCAATTTATAAAAACAACCACTTTATTACTAAATATATGTGCCTATGACAGGATTGTGTTCTTACGTGTTTAATGTGACTTCTGTTTACGGACATCACTGGACAGCTTCTCAACATCGGGTATGTAAGATGTAACTTTAATCTTGACGCGGCAGCTAATGTAGCAAGCCTTCCCTGGAAATGTCTTTCCACATGACCGTATTTTTCGGACTATAACCACTACTTTTTCCCCACACTTTGAACCTTGACCACATCTTGAGGACATTGAGCGCCATTTGGAATGCCTCAAATGTTTTCTTAAAAATCTGCTGCCTTGACACCCCACCATCAGTGGAAAGGTACTGCAAATAAAAAGCAAATTCCACTGCTCAAAACATTGCACAGTGGAATTACACATTTTCCAGCCTTTATTTCTGCTAATTATTTTGGTATAACCTTTTTGATATCAAAAAATAAGCTTAATGAAAAGTGTGCTTAATACCTGCTGCTGTTTTCAAAAGGGATGGTTGTCCTGAGAAACAAGTCTCATTCAAATTCAAATTGAAAAGCACTTTATTGATCACAAAGTTAATTATATGTCATTTTAACTCCTATTATCCAAGATTCTTCAAAGCTGTTATGGATGGTGATGACTGTGGGCAGGAAGGATTTCCTGTTCAGATATGTATTACAGTAATTATGAAGAAGCTTCCAATTGAAGACACACAGTATTATAACAAGGATACTCAAAGTTACACATCATTTTCTTATTAATTAATAGAAATGCGTTATTAAATTGGAAAACATATTCATATTTTCTGAAATAATAAAATAAGTCATTTTTTGCAAAAAGGGTTTTGGCAAAAAAATAAAAGACCATGTTTTTTTTTTTTTTGCCAAAAGATTACTTAGGCGATTATTTTAGCAAGGTGATGACATGCAACTAACTCTATGAAGTTAGTTGCAACAATGATGCCAAATCTCAAACTATGATTGCCTAAGAATTTTTGCAGACCTTTTATGTAACTTTTAAAGATAGCAAAGACTTTACAGTGGAAGAAACTTTACATTTGAAATATAGAACAATTTGTCCGTTTTGCCTTCGGCAGTAGAAAAAGCATCAAGTAAAGGTATTTTATCTAATTGTCATTCAGAACTTTTTCAATCCACTGCCTGAAAGAGTCAACACGTGTGTAAACATCAGGGGTCCTTATGTCTCCACATCGACGCCCAGAGAAGGAGACAACACCCGCCGAAGCTCCGTCACACACCAAGGGGCCTCCCGAATCCCCCTGCAAAATAGCAATTCAAGAAATATTAACAATTACTAGGTTATTTTTAAAGTTTGGCCACATGTGATATTTGTTCTGCTGAACATTACTTTATATTTTGACCCGCCTTACCGAGCAGAAGCCCTGTATGTTCCGTGAACCCATGGAACAAACCATCGTTCTGGCTATGGGAACTTCTCTCCATCTTCTCTGACATGTACGTGGTGACATAATTGTGACATTGACCTCCTGAAGCCTGTTTGCCAACGTATTGTTGTCACCTATGTCCCCCCAACCAGCTGTGATGCAACTACTTCCCGTTCTGAGGCGACCAGACCTCAGAGAGATCAACTGCACTTCTTTAGTAAGATTTGCCCTGCTGCTAAGCTGAGGAATTATGAAAAGAAAACAGACAATAGCAGAGTTAGAGGCTAATGCTAATTCAATTATGTGTAGAAAGAAACAAGATTTACAGATTTAGAGAATGTAATATATTTGACCCAACCTTCAACAGCATGATGTCATTTGCAAGTTCAGTGTAGTCCGGATGGGGAAAGGATCTGAGAACACGAAGGCTCTGCTTTGCTGGCTCATTGGCTTCCAGTGTATCTGCTCCAAGCACAACTGTGTATGGTCTATAAGGCACAGAATAGCACAAGTTGCATTACAAAAAAAAAAAAAAAAACAAATGAAAACTGTCGTCTAATTTATTGTCGGTGAGAAGGAAAAATAAGTAGGGGTGCACTGATTGCAGTTTTCTGGCTGATTGCTGATTACTGATCCTCCAAAAGCCTGACACGCCGATTCTGAATTTTCTCAATGCCAATTTGTTTTGTCTGAAATGTTATTAAATATAGCAAGAAAGTCACTGAGTTGATAAAAGTGGGGTGACTATTGATAACTGCAAACATGCAGACATAACCTGATGGGCCAGTCTGTCAGTCAAACCTCTCTCACAGGAGAACAAACGTTGACAGTGGTTGATTTTTAGACCTTCTCTGAGGGGATAAGATCAGCTTCACATGTAAGCATCAGTCGATCACCATTCTCCCTAATTGAAGGAAATTGGCATCGATAAATTGGCTGGCCGATAAACCAGTGCACTCCTAAAAAGGAGTTTTCTTTTGTTTGTTTGTTTTTTGTCTTTAAAAAAATATGTAGTTACTTATGTTCAACTGTGTTTATTTTTATTAGTATATTATGAGAGAAATATTTATCTTTGACCTCTCCTTACATTATTTTCTGAAGATCTATCTATAGGCTTCTTATAATTTTTAACCTTGCAAAAATGACACTAGCAGGCAAAGTATAACTTTTGTGCTACACTAAGTGTAAGAAACTGAACATTGTTACCTTTCTCTCCAGAACCTTCTTTCTAGGATAAATTCTTGAACAGTGTCTCATTTTCTTATTGCCTAGGAATTATTTTGAATTTCTTAGATTTGTAGCGGTGAGCAAAACTTACATCATTAAGTCGCAATGTGCTGCTGTGAGCACAAAATCCTCTCTTAA